AGTATATACGACCAATATATATATATATATATATATATATAAAAACAACTCCCGATTGACTTAGAAGTGTATCTAAAATCTTGATCAAAGCAGATGTTTTTGCTTTTGCCAGGGATTCCTCAACCCTTTCAGCTGTCTGCTGAGAAATGTAGCATGCTGTGTCATGCCTGTGGCAACTCTGAACGGCCTGAGGAGGAATCTGTGCTTTAAACTCAGAAAGAAGGCTCAGAATACATTGTTGAAAAACCTAAAACTAGTTTTACAGAGTCCAAAAGTCTGAGTGCACACTGAAAATCTGGTATTTTTTATTTAAACCTGGAAAAAAAACAGAAATTTCAACAATCTTGAAAATTTTAAAATGTACAAGTTATGACAATTAAAATGAAGAAGAAATATGGAAGATTCTGGACTATTTCTAGGCCACAACTCAAATATAAGCAAATTTGTGACCATGTTGAGGTCTTTGTACGGGAAGATCAGATTTGTTTTTTTGTCTTATCTCTTCCAGTGAAGCCCGTCTTCAGACAGCTCTCCGGTGGATCTGATCTACTGATCTGAGCTGGTGGAGCTCATGCAGCTGGAGTGTACACTGTGATTAAAGCAAAAGAAAGACACACCAGATACTGCAAAATTCAGAAGTTCATGCTAAAATAAGATTCTACTTTTCACTTAAATTGTTACACTAATAAAAAAAAAAAAGGTCTATTAAATTAGAAAGCAATGCAAGATAAAGGTGGTCTCAGACTTTTGGACCCCACTGTAGTTAGTCAGCCAAGACATGTTGGCCCCTTAAGCTTGTGTCTTTAGTTTTACACTGAAGGTGTGAGGCTAATGTAGCTAACAAGTAATGTAAGCTTATACCACATTGATTAGCACAGTGCCCAAAGCATCACACACTGTTCTGGACTTGCTTATGTGGTTTCTGACACTGTATGACGTTGTTATTCATAAAAAGAGAAAACTGATATTATTCTGATGATGTCACTATCGCTCTGCCACCATTTTGGTAGGCAACTTCAGTTCATTCAGCAGAGCTGTGGTGGTTCATAATGAGGTAACACAGCCATGATGGATCCAGCAAACACAGTGAAACACGTTTTTTTTAAATATATTAGCCAATGTATTTGAGTGTATTGACTTGATTTTATTTGATTTGTTGCTGTAATGATAACAACTGAAAGCTGAAATGTAAACGGCTGAGATTTTCTGCTGCATAACTAGCGTCCTGTCCCAAACGCATATTACCTCACTAAATATTGTGTAAAAATAATGCATATACCTTTATTTTTTTTATTTATTTATTTATTTTTTTTTTTAATTTTTACCCAATTTTTCTCCCCAATTTAGTCGTCTCCAATTCCACCCGCTAGTTAGGACTCCCCCAATCACATGATGCTATCAACGCTAGGAGGGCGAAGGCTAACACAGGCTTCCTCCGAGACCTGTGAAGCCAACCACCGCGTCTTTTCGAACTGCCGCTCACGCAACGTCACTGGACAGCCGAACGCGCTCTGAGGAAAGCGCCAACCGCCAGATCTGTTACGTCAGCTAACAGACGCCTGCGCTGACTAGCATCACGCTGAGTGATGGGGGGAGAAGGAGGGGCCATCCTACCCACCCAGAGAGAGCGAGGCCAATTATCGAACTCGCGATCTCCTGATGATAGGGCCAACGCTTAGACGGCTGTGCCACTCGGGAGCCACATATACCTTTATAAGTGCACTCATTAGTGTAGTAGATGAAGTACAGAAGTGTGTGGTTTGGGACACGATGTTAGATCAGCCAGTGAGACGCGTTCAACAGCTGCTCTGCTGTGCTGCTCGTTAGCTGCTCATTAAACACCTCCAAGAGAAAGTTTTGAGGTATTTGCTAATTAAGAATTTCTTGAGGTAAATCAATCCATTTATTGAGGTTAATTAATGTATTTATTGAGATAAGCTGATGTCGACTTCGCATTCGCCAGCTTTCAAAATTCGCTCTATGTTTGAGGTGCCTCATAAACCAGCATGGCTGGTCACCAGTAAAACCAGCATATGTTGTGTTTTGGATGTTGGTATGCTGGTCCACCAATATGACCCTTCTGGGTGATCAGCTAAACCAGCACCAGGCCAACACTAGACCAGCATAGACCAGTTTAGACCAACATAGAATTCATGCTAGTCTGAGCTATTCTTCCCAGTGGGGATACCAGTGGAGCAGTTAGCAGAGTTAGCTAGTGTTAACGATGTTCTGTGTTTTAGCGAGTAAAAAGTCCTCTGCAGCCACTTTATTCTCTTTTCATCTTCGTATGTTTTTTTTGGCTGGTTGAAGCGGTTTTTAAGGTGTGACATGCTGAGTGTTGAATATTACATCAGAACAAGCCCTTTGTTTTCTTCAGCCTTTAAAATGTTATTCATATTAAATTGATCATTGCAAAATGCACAGCATAATTATCAGTAATTATCTATAATGATCTCAAAAAAAAAAATATTGTGATAAGATTTTTGGGCCAAGAGTAAAAACTCTTTTCAGTCTTCAGCTCCACCGACCTGAGTCAGCCTAAACTTGATTTTTTCTACAGTCAGCCTGACGTGCAGCTGAACCCACAGCAGCCTGCAGCCATAAAAACACATAAGAACTGCCAGAACTGCTAGCACTGCAATGCTAGTTCATCTGGAGGTTAGGGGGACTCAAGCTGCTATCAAAATATCTTAGATATCTTTGAATAGTGCTGTTTAATGGAATAGTTTACAGGTAATGTTCAGTGTCTGAAGTTTGCTTCTTTAGTTTTAGCACTGGAGCTACGAGGCTAATGTAGCTAACAAGTAACAGCCAGGTAGCTAAAGTACAGATTCAATTCAAGCTTCAAGATGGCTTCTGTTACTGTTTGTAAGCCCCCCAACCAGTGTGGAGGCTGAACTTAAGCCTGACTAGCTCTCACTGTTAAACTAACCCCCCGTGTGGAGGCTGTACTTTAGCCTAACTAACCCCCCCGTGTGGAGGCTGTACTTTAGCCTAGCTATTTCTCACTATGGCATATTTTTAGGGTAAATCTGGAGAAATTTTGGTCCAATTGCTGTCCAAATTCACAGACGATATTGCTATGGAAACCAGAAAAGACGGCTTGTTAGTTTCCCCTGTTATGCATTGTAAGAGCCATCTAAGCAAGTGTTCGTTGATAGGCTAACACTGTACTTGCTACATAACATGCCATGATCACGTTCGGGTCTAAGCTGGATTTCTCTTTGACAAAAAAAGAGTTTCTAATATTGGCATGATGCCGACTACAGAATGATAATAAGTGGTCTCGTGTGGGCAACTGGTGGGAGCAAGTTACAGAAAATGCTAACTGCTGATGCATCTTTTGATAAAATACAACAAACGCCATACATTATGAATTGCTGAGCTGATTGGACACAGCAACAACACTCTTTCCTCCATCTATGGGAACAAAAGCACATTTCCACCAGCCTTTTCTATGTCAAAGACTCCAAATGCACTGGTCGCGTCTAATTAAGGCAAAATTGAAAAGCCGGTGTTTGGCTCTGGGTTCACAGAGTGCAGTTTTGTTAATTAATGTATGTGTGCATGTGAAAGTGAGTGAGTGAATGTTATTCGCGTGACACAGTCTTGCTGTTTGGCTGGGTCTCTTAGGCCGGGGGGGATGAAGGCTGTTATATTTGGAGACTGTAGAGGCCTCTGGCTCGGGTGGAGCCGGTTTGGGTTTTGAAGACTGTTATCCACAGCACTAGGATTCACTTAATGCACACTTATTCACAGAGGTGAACTAGAGAGCATGCTGTCAGTCAAAAATGAGCTAGTTTTATACACAAAAAATTACCATTTCCCCATTTCCCTTAGAATCACAGTACTGTGCAAAATTTGGAGGCCCTTTCGTTTATTTCATTTCCACTCAAAACAGCCATTAAGTACAAGTTCTTTCTGAGGAGATCAGATATGAGATAATCTACAAGGGGAAAGTAAAAGAAAAATAACAGAAAAACTGAGTTTCCAAAACTAGAGTTAAAAACTGATGAAAAGCTACAGAGAAATTGGGGCTTTTAACAGCCACCTGGTAGACACCCAAAACTGCCCCCATCAGATAAACAGCACTTAAAGCTTTCCTCTTTGAGAGAGAGGAGAAAATCAAGCTGCTTCAGATCTGAAAACATCCACAGGTGTTTCTGTCCATCCTTCCACTGTGAGAAGACGACTCAGCGCTGTGGGTCTGAAAGGATGTGTAGCTGATCAAGAAGAACCTCACTGAGAAAAGGAGACGGACACATCAAACAAAGAAGCTGAACAATGGACTGACCACCCCAGAGTCCAGACCTCAACACCACTGAATGTGTTTGATTACTTCAGAAAATGATCAACCAGTTTCTAAGACTGAACTTTGGAGGTGTGTCTGCAGATTCTTTGAGGAACTGAAAGTGAGTCTCCTGAAAAGAATGGAAGCTGGAATAAAGGGAAAGTGTGACTCACTGAACACTGACACAGCTGAGAGTAGATGTGGCTGTTGTGGCTGCTGTATAATAAAAAGTGGGATCTGACTTTTGCACATTAATGTATGTAAATGAGCTCTGTTCTGATTGGCTGTCATGTATGGTGTCCAGTTCAAAATTCAGTCCAGGCTTAAATGTGGAGCAGATTGTTAAATATCCACAGGGACATGGGAAAACTGGCTGAACTGGCTAAAGTGCTATAGGCGGAATGGGTGGGGCTTAACTGATGTAGGCTGAATGGGTGGGGCTAAAGTGCTGCAGGCTGAATTGGTGGGGCCTAATTGATGTAGGCTGAATGGGTAGGGCTTAACTGATGTAGGCTGAATGGGTGGGGCTTAACCACTCTTGTGTGAATGGGTGGGGCTAAACTGCTGTAGGCTGAATGGGTTGGGGCTTAACTGATGTAGGCTGAATGGGTGGGGCTAAACTGATGTAGACTGACTGGGTGGGGCTAAACTAATGTAGGCTGAATGGATGCACATATGGAAATATATTCATGGTTGTGACATCACAGCATGTTTTGAAACTTTACGTACTACATTGAACTGTTTTATTTAAAAAATAAACAAAGAAACATCAATTTACATTATAGAGACCCTGTAATGTGAGGCTTAACTCAAACTTAAAAACATTTCCTACTGAGGTAAAAAATTCTGAGACATAATGGTCTCTCTCTCTCTATCTCTCTCTCCACCTCTCTCTCTCTCTCATTCTTTCTTTCTCTCTCTCTCCCTCTCTCTCTCTCTCTCTCTCTGTTCTCTTTTGGTGTTTCTACATTTGCTAGTACCGCACATACCCGCTTATGTCCTCCCTCGTCCCTTTGCCTCCCTCTCTCTCTTTCACAGTAGGTTAACTTTGGCCACCACCTGTTTGCAGCCGCTCTTTGCATACTCTTTCCCTCCTGCCCTGTGATAGGCCAGTTCCCCTGCCAGTCTCTCCACGTGGGCGGGGTCAGGGTAAAATCCTTCGTCTGTCATTTCCTCCAGGAAGCACTGTACCACGTGACTCCGCTCCAGCAGGGCTAGCGGGATAAGCTCCACCCCCGGCTCCGCCCACAGCGGGTGGAGCTTCCCCAGTGTTTGCCTGAGCAGCTGTTCTGCCCCGGTGGCCGAGGCGTTCTGCAAATTGTAAGCCGTGATCTCTGCTTCTCCCAGGGAGCTGAGGAGAACGTAGATGACGTTCAGAAACTCGTTGGTCTGCTTGGGCTGCATTAGCGTCCGCAGCCCATCCAGCAAAGGCGGACTCATCAGCTCCACCTCGTCCAGGACAAAGAGCGGGATTCGCTCCTCCTCCTCGGCTCGGGTCACGACTTTGGTAACGCGGCGGATGAGCTTCGAGGTGCAGTTCTCCGGACTCTCCTGTAGGGGGCAGTGGTGCATGGTGAAGTACTGCACCACCAGATCATTGCCCACCACAGAACGAAAATGTCGTGCCAGCAGGCGTCCCAGGTGGCTTTTGCCCACTCCAGACGCACCGTGCAGGGACAGCGCTAGGGGGCGCTGGTGGGCATAGGTGGACAGGTAGTCATTCAGGTGGTACATTAATGTCTCCAGTGCCTCCTGCTGGCCAAACACCTCCCTGTGCAGCGCTCGCTCCAATCCATCCAGGTCGTACTTCTCCACGTGGTCGTCCAGGTTCTCGATGGCGTTGTAAACCTGGAAAGGAAGATAAAAAGGGAGAATTTGTGATTCGCTAATTTTAGCTCTACCCAATTCTTTTTATTTATTTTATTCTAATTTTTATTTTTATCTAGACATTTTGTGTACAGTGTCCTTAGGTATCTTGATAGATAATGATGTTAGTGTAAGCTATCTAGGTAGCTAATGCTTCTTTAGTGAACTCTTACTCTTAATGCTACTTTAGTGCTGTAGGCTCAGTGGGTGGGGCTAAACTGCTCCAAGTTGAATGAGCAGGGCTAAACTGAAGGCTGAATGGGCTCCATATGGAAATGTGTCTATAGTGTGACATCACAACCATGATCAACCTCAAAATGGGCTGTTTTTGCTGCTTAGTCTCCATATAATGACTGTGTGGACTGAGGAATGAACCCTATATATTTAAACGTTACAAAATACAAGTCTTTTCTATTACTTTAAAAATTGCATTTGTCTCATTAACAGTACCATATACATGCAAATAATGTTAGCATTAGCTGCATAGCTAACATTAGCAAACCCTTTATTAGTGACATAACAGTGCTTGGTGAGAAGCACTATTACCTGGAAGAGAAAAGTATTTGCTACAAATGCCGGACAGTTTCACAGTAACACCAGCGTCAACTGAGCTCAAATAAACAAACTTTACTCTCTGCTGCCCTCTAGAGGTGTCATTGCACTTGTTACATAGAACTAGGCAGAATTGTTTGCAGTTGATGTGCTCTGTGCTTTCTTCTATTATTAATAGTGTGGTGTGATGTTTGTTGGGGGGGCTAGCGCATCTTTTTCTGGCTAGATGACAAAAGAGGGGACGTTCACTGACCTGCAAGAAGACGACAACGAGGAAGAGAAAGAGGAAGACCTTGGCCTGACTCCGGTCTCTGTTTTTTGGCAGATACTTCTTCCTGTCGCTGGGGAACATCACCCGAGACATTCTCCTGCGGCTCTTGCGGCGGTGGGGGCTGGCGGAGCGCTCTGGCCGGGTGGCGGTGGAGGTTTCTGGGCTGGAGGGGCTCGCGCCGTGTTCAGGACGCATTCGGCGCAGATACTTACTCCGGATTCGGACCATAGCCTTCAGCTGCAGAGGGAGGGCGGAGGAACTGCCGCTGGACGCGTTCTCCAAACCACTCTCTCGCCCAACTCTACTTGCTTTCACACAAGGTTCCATCTCATCATCTGTTCTGTCCATCTGTCCATCACAAAGGAGAAAGTTCATGGACATCAGCCTCAGATTTTAGGATTAAATCCTGCAGCTAACATTGATTCATCAGCTATTTCGGGAGTTCCTCACTGCAAAGTAGTACCTCAAAGCAAAAACATACAAACGTTTAAGAAAATATGGGTAAGAACTTGAGAGCTATTGGCGCCCCCTTGTGGACAATCTCAAGGCTGCTAAATATGAGTGAGTGAGTTACAAGACTAGTGATCACTTGTTTAAAACATCTTATGAATTAAAAGAAAAGCTGTAATTTGTAAGTGTCTGAATTGAAATCTAAAGGACACTAAAACTCGATTTACAGTTACAGAGCTTTCCGCTTTCCACCTTGTTTGGTTTGTAGTTTTTAGTTTATTTTTCAAACGGTCCTCCCACCTTCAAGATCCTGCTATGACAAAAAAAAAATTTGCAAGTGTATAAAGGCTTTTTCCAAATGTTGTTAAAAATTAAAACAAACATCCAAAAAAGTTACGAGGTTGTGAGGATGACAGTGGCTAGATGAGGCTCTTGCTCTTATTCATTGTATGATTTCTCATTTCTAAGGCTGCTGACTGAAGCACATGAGGAAGGTTAGCGTGACTGAGGTCAAATCTCAAAGCTTAAACTTTGGCAAACACAAGATTAATTAGAGACTATTATTGATTTTGGCAGCAGAATAGTGTGCGAGAGGTTTTACTGTTTGTGTATGTGGTATTCATGTCTGTGTGTTAAATTTAGTCCTCAGGCAAGACAGGTGGTTACTGATATGCAGTTTGCATTTTTGTACAGCTGACCCCAAAATAACCTGTGTTTTGAAACATTACTGCAAATTACAGTTCTCATAATTTACTTACTTAACCAGAACTACAGCAGCCAGATATGAAATATGAAAATAAAAATGAACTGGGTGTTTTTTTGTTGTTTTTGTGATTTTTCTTATGTAAAATGACATAATTCATAGAAATATATATGTATATATATTTTATATATATATTTTTTCGGGTGGGGGGGTGCTGGGGTAGCATTTTTGCATCAGCTTGGAATGTAAAGAATTGCAAGAAAACTGGTTTTATTTGTGAAAAATAAACTGTACCCACCCATAGATTGTGTTTTTTTTCTTGACGTTTTTATACCCTGAAGTAGTATAATGTAAGAAGTATACTCTTTGAAAGAGCTTGAGGAGCCAGTGCTCACCATGTGTGAAAACAGAGGTGCAAACTGCAACTGTTTTGCAAAATTCAGTAACCAAATAGAAATATACCACATATATTACAAAGAGGGTCTTCTGTTTCCCAAAGAAAAAGAAAAAAAAGGGCTCTGTCATATTGTAGTGAGGCAAAATAGCATAAAAAGTAGTTGCTGCCTTAAGGCAACACCATGCTGTGCAGGGATTCAGCTTGTCCTTAAACTGTTATCAGAACAGGTTATGAGATTAGATGGCTGTAAATGAAACCCAAAGCTAGTTGCGTGCTGCTTGCTATAAAATGAAACACTCCCTCATCGCCCTAAATCTCAGCCCACATAGCATAGGCTCAATCAACACACAGATAGCTTTGTTTCTATCAGCTGCAGTATCTAAAGCGTTTTGCGATCATGTTATTTCGAAGCTGGTCTATAATGTTTTGACTGTACAGATTACCATCGTTTAAGGCTCAGACGTCTTTTTAAGGTTGTCTGTATTTTTACCAAGGCATGTGGGTGTTTGGTGGGAACCAAGTCAGTTTAATCGTTACCTTCAGTGTTTCAACACGCTGACATGTTTATCTCACAGCGAGAGTGAATTGGTCCTCACGTTCTCCTCAGCCACTTTCTCACCTCGCTGGTGTACAGTTAGACACTGTAGATCATCTGTAGATTAACAGTCAGTGTAAGTTGTCCTCTAACCCTGCATCAATGGTCAATTTCTGACCACAGAGCCACTTATCTGGATATTATTTGGTTGGTGGTTCACTCAGTCAGTGACACTACTATGCTGAGAATGGACCACTTCCTGAAACATTTCTGGACAAGAGCATCCTTGTGGTCAGAAATTGACCAATGACGAATAGGATAGAGGGGTCCTGATAAACTGTACACTAATTTTCCACCTGTAGCGTCACCTACTGCTTGAAAGTTTGTGAACTCTGAATTTTCTATATTTCTGCAAAAAACTGACCTAAAACTTCATCAGATTTTCACACAAGTCCTAATAGTAGATAAAGAGAAGCAAATTTAGCGAATGAGACAAAAATATTACACTTGGTCGTTTATTTATTAATTTTTTCTGGGGAGATGATGTTAGGCCTTGGATCCTGTTCATATTTTTAATCTTTAGACAAGGTCTGGGTCATGTGTCCTTGTTTTTTTCTTGGGTTTTAGCAATTTCATTGCAATTTCCTATCAATCGTGGAGACTAATGAGGGATCTATTATATTCTCTATCCTTAAGTGTTGGTTTTAGTTTCTAGGCTTTTGGCTTTTTGGCTCAGAATCATCCCCCAGATTTCATTATTTTGAGGCAATTTGGTAGGGAACCTTTGGCCTGGGCCCAGGCCTGGGCCTTAGCCCTCACAAAAAATTACTTGGTAAACTCTAAAGTGTATCATGTTCACGAGAGGACACTGGGCATAGGCCTCAAATCTTCCATTCCACAGGTTATTGTGTACAGTCTCAATGGCTTGGTCTTTGGTACCACATCGTTTTAGAGCTTCATTCACAATTTCTTTTCAATCATCTCAACAGGTTGGGATTTTGGTTCAAAGACCCAAAAACTCTTCCATTCCATTATTATAGTCACTGTTCTTAAGGGTTGGGTATTAGGGGGCCCATGACCTTGGGCTCAAAGCTCAGATTAATTGTTTTTTAAGGCTAAAATTCTGGGTCATGATTACTAGGTCTTGTCTTCTCAATAATAATTCCTGATTCTATTGCAATAGGATAGAGGCATCTGGGCCTGTGTTTAAGAGCTCATGTCCCATCTTACTCTTTCAAACTGAAATGGCTTATACTGGCTATTGGAAGTGCTGTTATAATATTTCATATCTGTGAGTGGCAAAATTATGTGAACTTTAGAATTAGAGTCTATAGCAGCGTTATAAGTCTATAAAGATAATGGGAAGTCTATAGCAACTTTGCTATATAGAAAATGGCACACTATCTGAAAGTCAACGGCAAAAAGTAGATGGCAAATCTGTTGCAATGCAATCTATAGATAAAAATAAAATGGCAAGTTTATAGCAACTATCTATAAATACAATGGCAATGACAAGTCTTTAGCTACTCTGCAAGTCTATAGAGAACACAGTAAGTCTATAGAAACTTTAAATGCTCCACAACACTAATTATTTTTGCCTGCCATCCATATTTTGAGTGAAAGTAGTTGTGGATGTAAACCTACTGACTGAGAAGCTCCATCAGGAGCACTTTTCCTAACTCCACCTTCGCCTCCAGGAAAAGCGAGGATGGTGTGGTTTTTGTTTACTCAATGTTTGCATAGCTATCACTCCTTCCTTGTCCACTTCTGAAGACCCACTAAACAGGAAGTCCAGTCAGACTACTACTCTCTCTCTCAGATGAACAGAGTGGATGCTGTATTTATCCATGCTGGGTTTGATGATCTTACTATGCAAAACTCATGCAAATGTCTCAGCTGCACAGGAAAAGAGAGACGAAGAGTGAAGGACGAGCAGATGCTCTAGCAGGTCTAGATGGAGTTTAGAAACAACAAAAAAACAAAACACCCCTTTTAATATGGGGCTGAAAAACAGACGGTTGTCTAAATGGGCCTGAGTGTTTATAAACGGCCTGTTTGTGGAAACTATGGATCAGAACTGGGGCCAAAATCACTGAGGTGAAATCTTTCCACACTCTTAGAAATGAAGGGACTTTAATGGTTTGTGGTTTGGATGAATCATCCTTGGAAAAAGTGATTAATGGTTTACAACCTTTACATTATGTGACGGTTATATAAACTTTAAGAAGGTTCTTCACAATCATACCAAGGGTCTTTGAAGAACCATTCACTGAGAGGTTCTTTAGGGAACCAAAAGTATAGCACCACTGCAAAGATACTATAAACAGAGTGATTCAGAGTGGTTTGAAAATGATTGTGAAATGATTCAGATGTCTTTACAGTGGTGGTGATAGGAACCAGGGGTCGCCATGACTACAACACATTATTTACTATCCAAAACCACCAGTGAACCTACATGAGTTTATATGGAAAGTTGATGATGGAAAATAGTGGAAAATCTCAAATAATAAGTTTTCTTTGGGGACTATTTTTTCTCACAGCACCCTGCATATTATGTATCCCTCCATCATGAATGGAGTTTAAGGCCACAGTCTTCTCAGAACCATCATAAAACAGTGTCTCAGTCATCAGGCAGTGAATTCATAACCATTTCATGTAGTAACTTCCTGTGAGGGAGCTTTTAGAGGTGGACGTCTGGTTCCTATCACCACCACTGTGAACAATTCTGAGGAAAGACAGAGAGATGGAGAGACGAAGGGAAAAAGAGAGAGGAGAGACAGACGTCAGCGATCTCCTACCTTCAAAAGCTCAGAAAAGTGCCTCCTCCCTCCTTCCTTCTCTCCTCCTCCTATTCCTGCCGTTCAGATGCCGGTGATGATGATGATGATGATGATGATGATGATGATGGAGATAGAACTGTGCGACCCTGACGCTTTCATTCAAAAACACATTCACACGCTCACGCGCCTTCTGTCCTCTCACTCAACCTGTCCACTCTCTCTCCATCTGTCTCATTTTAATCTCTGTCTCTTTGTCTGCATGAGCTCCACCCCTCCCTCTCTTATTTCTCCCTCTCTCACTCTCTCACTTTCATTTGCTTGTCATGTTTATTAGATAACCTTTAAGCCTTATTTGCTGGACCATATTCACTCTTTTTATTATTAGCATTGTTAGCAAGACCTCCCCACCACCACTATTACCACAAGTCTGTAGCAACTTTGATAGTCTATCAAGAAAATGGAAAGTCTGTAGCAATTATGCAAGTGTGTCGAGAAAATGGCAGGTCTATGGCAACTTTGCAAGTCTATAAAGAAAATAGCAAGTCTACAGCAATTTTGCAAGCCTATAATGAAAATGGCAAGTCTATTGCAACTTTAAAATCTATGGAAATGGCAGGTCTATGGCAACTTTGCAGTCTATGAAAATGGCAGGTCTATGGCAACTTTGCAGTCTATAAAGAAAATGGCAAGTCTGTTGCAATTTTGTAATCTATGAAAATGGCAGGTCTATGGCAACTTTGCAGGTCTATAAAGAAAATGGCAATCTGTAGCAATTATACAGCATGTATTATGTAGCAATTATAGAGAAAATGGCAGGTCTATGCCAACTCTGTCAGTCTATAAAGAAAGTGGCAAGTCTCTAGCAATTATGCAAGTGTGTAGAGAAAATGGCAGGTCTATAGCAACTTTGCAAGTCTATAAAGAAAATGGCAAGTCTATTGCAACTTTGCAATCTATGAAAATGGCAGGTCTATGGCAACTTTGCAGTTTATAAAGAAAATAGCAAGTCTGATGCAATTTTGCAATCTATGAAAATGGCAGGTCTATGGCAACTTTGCAGGTCTATAAAGAAAATGGCAATCTGTAGCAATTATACAAGTGTGTAGAGAAAATGGCAGGTCTGTTGCAATTTTGTAATCTATGAAAATGGTAGGTCTATGGCAACGTTGCAGGTATATAAAGAAAATGGCAATGTGTAGCAATTATACAAGTTTGTAGAGAAAATGGCAGACCTATGCCAACTCTGCGAGTATATAAAAAAGTGGCAAGTCTCTAGCAATTATGCAAGTGTGCAGAGAAAATAGCAGGTCTATAGCAACTTTGCAAGTCTGTAAAGAAAATGGCAAGTCTATTGCAACTATGCAGTCTATGAAAATGGCAGGTCTATGGCAACTTTGCAGTCTATAAAGAAAATGGCAAGTCTGTTGCAACTTTGCAATCTATGAAAATGGCAGGTCTATGGCAACTTTGCAGTCTATAAAGAAAATAGCAAGTCTGTTGCAATTTTGTAATCTATGAAAATGGTAGGTCTATGGCAATTTTACAGGTCTGTAAAGAAAATGGCAAGTCTATTGCAACTATGCAGTCTATGAAAATGGCAGGTCTATGGCAACTTTGCAGTCTATAAAGAAAATGGCAAGTCTGTTGCAACTTTGCAATCTATGAAAATGCCAGGTCTATGGCAACTTTGCAGGTCTATAAAGAAAATGGCAATCTGTAGCAATTATGCAAGTGTGTAGAGAAAATGGCAGGTCTAATGGCAACTTTGCAAATCTATAAAGAAAATGGCAGGTTTATAGCAACTTTGCAAGTCTAAAAAGAAAATAGCAAGTCTGTAGCAACTTTGCAATTGGGCAGATGAATTGGCAGGTCTATAGCAATTTTGCAATTTATAAAAATGGCAAGTGAATAGCAACTTTGCAGATCTATAAATAAATGGCAGTCTAGCAATTATACAGGTGTGTAGAGAAAGTGGAAGGTCTATGACAAATTTGCAATCTATAAAATTGGCAAATCAATGGCAACTTACAAGTCTATAAAGAAAGTGGCAAGTCTGTAGCAACTATGCAATTGTGTAGAGAAAACAGCAGGTCTATTTTTGCAATTTATAAAAATGGCAAGTCTATAGCAACATTGCATCTATAAAAATGGCATATATAGCAACTATAGATGTCTGTAGAGAAAATGGCAAATCTGTAGCAATTATGCAATCGATCTAATGGCAAGTCTATAGCAACTTTGCAATCCATAAAAATTGCAAGTGTATGGCAACTTTGCAAGTCTTCAGAGAAAATGAAGGTCTATGGCAATTTTACAAGGCTTTGAAGAAAATGGAAAATCTACAGCAATTCAGTCATTAAATAAAATGACGACCCTGTAGCCTGTATTGTACAGTGTGAGGAACCACATAATCACATCTATTACAGATTACCCAAAGTCATTTGAGTCAGTTTTGTGATGATGGACATGCAGTTAGCACCATGGTAATTGGTGGGGTTCATCACTTGTTAGCTACTTTAGCCTCGCAGCTCCAGTGCTAAAACTATAGAAGCACACGTCAGACACAGAGCATGTCCCGGCTTACTGACTACATTTGGGGCAACTGTCGCTTTAAGCCCTCCATTATGAACTCACCACCCATGGTGCCCTTCTTGGAATTCTCCTCTGGTCCATGGCGCCCTAGTGAGCCCTTTACACGGGCGTGTTTACATAACGTACGCTGGGTGGGTGGACACACGGGCCTGTGTTTTTCCTCTGTTTATCGCGGTCTACTTCACTAATGTCTTCATTAGAGGGTTTTTATTCTGGAGGAACACATTTCAGAACAAAATAATGAACCATTTGAAAACTTGAAGTCCAAATACCAGACCGGTGACAGCCGTCCCGCAGAGCAGAGTCCCGTCAGGCGGTCAGCGCTGCAGTAGACGGAGAGACGGAGCTTTGGGGGATGGGTGTGTTTGTCGGTAACTAATTACTTTTTGTTGCATTGTTAAGATTCATTAGCATTAGCGCTGTTCCAACTTCAAGTTGTGTTTTGCGTCCATAGTGATGCCACAAACACTTGGTGGCCATTGGTCAGTTGGTCAGGTTTAGCCCCACTCACAGGGCAGAGTGTTTAGTACTGCAGAAAATGGAACATGGATTACTTCACCAAGAAACTGCTAATGTGGCTAATGTGGCTAACAGCGAATGGAAGTAGGAACAAGTTTGCATGAGCTAATTTGCATAATGCTAAGGCATTAGTTAGTATTCATGTGACATATAACGCCTGTCAGAGTGCCTTGTTTAATATTTAGGAACATCTATGCTAGCATTTATAGCTAGTTAGAAAAACTCACCCATGCTAAGAAACACTAGTGTAGCTAAGAGTGAATAGAAGTAGGAAACAGTTAGCATGACCACATTTGCACAATGCTATAGCACTAATTACTATGCACAACCTGCCTATGATAATACTTGAGGACATTTGCATAATGCTAAGGCATTAATTAATGTGCGTTTTAGGAACTCGCTAATGCCAAAAAAGCTAATGTGGCGAACTCACTGATACAAACTGAGCTGTGCTCTACAGTTTCTCATTAGATTGAATGGGATTTTTACCAGCGTTCTGTCCAACATCACAACAGTAGCCACAAAACAACACATTTGTGGGCGGAGCAATGGCCACAGCTCCAGTGTGTTGGGAACAACAGAAATGTGGAGCGTCTGGTGGTCCCCCCAAGGACTAGACCTGGGAGTCACCCTGTTAGAAAGCAGAAAAAGCCCAGAAAAAGCCCCTTTTTTAATGTCAGCAGGAATGTTTTTCACTTTAATTACTGCAGGATAATAAACACAGAGTAGCTTTGAAAGCTCTTTTACACATTGTACGTTCTTCAGTTCTGCTGCCAAAGCCTCCCACTGTTAGAACCAGACAACTTACCCAACAATGGTGTGGAGGCCGGTGTCCTGACCGCTCGGCTGGACACTCTCATATGATAACAAAGACAGAGTCTTTTCAGGGCTTTCGGTGCTTCTAGTGTACATCAATCTCAATGAAGGTTCCTATTGCATTTATGTGTCAGTAGAAGACATAAGCACAGTCGCAAAACATTTGAGCCTGGTCAAATAATGTTTTGTGAGAAGAAGTGATTCTCTAAAGAGAAACTTTAATTTTACAATTTGCAGATTTTAATTATAAACATATTGGAAAAAAATAAAATATAAAACTAAAGTAAAAAATAAAACAGGCCATATTTTGTTTTATGTTTTCCAGTATGTGAAATCAGTAAATAAGAAGTAATTATGTATTAAAATGTGCAGAAGTGTGTTTTCTGTAAAGGATGTTTTCATTTCTCCTTACAAAACATGTCATTTGACCAATGGGCGCCCAAACTTGTGCCTTTATTAAATGCATATTAGATACCTAAACAGCTGACAGGGGGCGCTCTATTTTTCAAAATATAATGCATTTTTTAAAATTGCTTTACTTTAAAATTATAAAAATGAAATTTTTCCACAAACAGTTCCTCTAAAGATGCACTACATTTGTTGTTAATACTGAAAAAAGTATCATTACTGAGTAAATAGAATATAAACAAACCAAATATGGTGAGTGTGTGTTGCTGCAAGTCGCCCTGTAAAGCCTGAAATAATCAGTTAAAAGTCAGAGGCTCTGAGTTTTTCACACCACGTCGTACGACAGAAGGTCCAGCTTGATGTTTAGGCCTCAAATGATCTCAAAATCAACATTATACTGATGAAGATGTGATGATTACAGTAGATAATTCAGTCACATCCTCAGAAGACGCTCCTTCACCAAGTTTAGACTGAGTTCTCTTTGAATTCTCTTTCAATCATCAGATTCATCCTCTCAAGTCTCAATGTGAATAGAGACTTTTACTTCAGTGATATTTCACCAAGTGTGTCTCTACTTTTTCTCAAATATTGGATTTGCATACTTTGTCCACCACTTGTCATCAGTGATCTAGCACTCGGCACTCTAATATACAGCAGCTAACGATGAACAGTTAGTGCTAGGCCCTCAGTTATAATAATTAATTATATAATAATTCTGCTTGGACAGTTTTGCGTTGGCAGTTCAAAAAGATTTTTGTTAATTATTTTATTTTTTAATTTCACAGAAGGTCACTCAAGGTTCTCCACTGCTAATATGTATATCCGTGATGAGAGAGAGTGAGTGAGTGAGTAAGAGAGAGAGAAAGAGACAGCAAGAGGCTCTCTAGGCCTCAAAGTCGTCCCTTAATCTGAAGTGTGTGTGAGTCAGTCTGTGGGGATATGTGTGTTTTGGGTCCACGTGTATGTATATGTCATTTCTTGCTCGCTATGGCAACCTGAGTTTGTTTCAAAAAGGTAAGGACTCATTCTTAGGAGGCCCAGTGGTGCGGAGGTGAGT